CAATTGTTTCTTCATATTCTCTTTAAAAATTTCTTCAATGTTGGTTACCTTGGTAAGATAGCATTTTTCTATAATTTATCTGTAGAGAAACCATTAGATCTTATTGTTTATTGGAATTTTCAGAGAGTCTCAGATCTTTTTCCTTTCCTTAAAGCTTATCATTGTTAAATTTAATGATATATTTCAGTTTTTATTGGAATATCAATATTAATTATTAGAATTTTAATTTAAAACTGTATATGCCATATTCCTTTGACATTTAAACAAGGCTTCTCTGAGGAGCCATTCAATAAATCAGGATTCACATTTAAAGTTCATAAAATGTAACTGAACATACCCTAACGTGACAAAACCTAAAATCCCAGATAAGCAGGCAGCCAGTTAGCTCAGTTGGTTAAAACGTGGTGCTAAAATTCCATATAAAACAAAATCTACAGTTTATAATTAACTTTACTTCAAAACCTATCAGTTGGCTGAGAACCATTTAAAGAAGCTGTACAAAATAGTCTGCAAAGCAATAAATATTTCGTTTGAGGTAATGTCTTTATTTTCAGTTTTTCGGCTTGTGTTACATATACAGAAAAATAACCAAGTTTGTTAAATGAAGTTCATAGAGTGCATAGATGGCGTATTATCACTTTTCATTATCCCGTGATATATCTATTCTTCATGTCTGATATGACCTACAAATAAAAATGAAACCAAGATAATTTTATGCCAATGGCTAATTTTTATTTTTCAAGAATGATTTTTAAAAGTGCTATGGACTTTATTTACCTTAAAGCCTTTCTGCAGAATTCACATTGCTATTGCTTTGCAAAGGTGAATGAAAATAGATATATTTTTCATTGACAGATGTGAAAAACTAGGACGCGAAGAGTGAAGGTGACTTGCTAGAGCATAAAAGCACAGGAGCCAGCAAGCAGTCTGTTGGCTCCTGGTCTGTGGCATATTCATTAGATTGCTATATTATATTCATCATCATATACCTTCATTTCACCTCTTAGACAAGAATGAGCTGAAATATACCAGAAAGTAGATTGCCTCTTATAAACGTTGCAATGTTGCCATGAATCTTTACCACTTAATTTACTATTCAAGCAATTTCTCTGCTCAAGTTTGTAGTAAAATAGCTCTTAAATTACTTTTAGTATTTCTGATTTGGTCAATAAAATGTGGATTGAGTTAAGATATACTTAATAAAATCGGACATTTGAGGGTATTTTCTTAACTAAATTTGAGTCCAAAGATACTTTATTTGCATGCATAATATTCACCTACCTTAATAACTACCTTAATTCATCTACCTTAATAACTATCATTTTATATTTTGGTTATACCAGTCATACCTTTTTTTATGGGTAATCTTCCAAGAATGAGCTAAAATTACATTATGAAACCAGTTAGCCCCTTCTCACATGCCCTCTTTAGTATGGTCAGAGACATTTACTTCTAATTTGTAATAATGTTGACCTTCAGTTTGGAAGCTCTTTGGCAATGATAGCTATTGCCCAAAATTTAGATAATATTTACACATTTTGATTCTTACTGACTTATTTTTTGACCTCAGATTTTGAGATTTTACGAAATTAATATAATAGAAAGTACATTGACATCATGATTATACTATAGATAACTAATTACTTTTAAGTGATACGTATAAAGCCAGAAAACGTAAGAAAGTACAATCTGAAAATGTAAGCAATTTGATGTTTGGGATTATATAAGCTTTGAAACAAAGGACTAAAAATCATACTCATTGATACCTTCATAACAAGTTATTAATATTAATTCAGTGGTTTTTAAATATAGGAAAAATTATTTGAATCAGAGAAGCAAAGGAAAGAATTGACAGAAGAGCTCCAGAATGTGAAACAAGTAAGTGTATGATTGTGTATGTGTGTGTTCTTTTGTGTGTGCGTAAACATGTGCGTAAACAAGCAATGATGTTTTATAATATCCCAGAGCTTACTGATGCAAAAATATAGTATAAAATAGTATAGATCTTAAACAACCCCATCAATAAATGGGCAAAGTACATGAACAGACACTTTGCAAAAGAAGAGAGAATAATGGCCAGCAAACATATAAAAAAGTGCTCAACATCTCTAATCATTCAGGAAATGCAAATCAAAACCACAATGAGATTATCAGCTAACTCCAATGAGAATGACCTTTATCAAAAAGTCCCAAAACAACAAATGCTGGCATGGATGTGGAGAGATTGGGACACTCTTACACTGCTGGTGGGACTTCAAATTAGTACAACTCCTGTGGAAGTAATTTGGAGATATCTCAAAGAGCTAAAAATAGAAATACCATTTGATCCAGCAATCCCACTACTAGGCATCTACCCAAAAGAAAAAAAGACATTCTGTAATAAAGACATCTGCACTCCAATGTTTATGGCAGCACAATTCACAATTGCAAAGATGTGCAAGCAACCCAAGTACCCATCAAAACATGAGTGGATTACTAAAATGTGGTATATATATACCATGGAATACTACTCAACTACAAAAAACAATGGTGAACTAGCACCTTTTATATTATCCTGGATAGAGCTAGAGCCCGTCCTTCAAAGTGAGGTATCACAAGAATGGAAAAACAAGTACCACATGTACTCGCCATCAGATTGGTACTAACTGATCAACACTAAGGTGCTAACATGGGAGTAATATTCACTGGGTGCTGCTCAGGTGGGAGGGGGTGGACAGGGTTGGTAAACTCACAACTAATAGATGCAGAGCGCACTGTATGGGGGAAGGGCACGCTTGTAGCCCTGGCTTGGGCGAGGCAAAGGCATTATATGTAACCAAAATGTTTGTACCCCCATAATATTCTG